GGGGGGGGGGGGGGGGGGGGGGGGGGGGGGGGGGGGGGGGGGGGGCACAGGGGCACATCTTGGTGGGCAGCGGAAGCTTCACAACTTGTATTAATAGCTGCTTGTTGCGTGGATTGGGGATGCATCCAAGCCCAATTCATGCGCCCTAGCTGTTCAATGACGGTACTGTTCACGAGTAGGCGAAGGTGATACCGGTCCGCCGTGTGGATGTGCACTGCGTCGAGGTGAGCAACAAATCTGTTTGCGATGCGTGGTATCCACATCATCCACCACGACCATCACCACTCATGCCCAACAGCAATCATACCTCCACCACTATCACCACCATCACCGACCGCAACAGCAACAGCCGTAAGAACAACAGCAGCAACACCACCACCACACCTGCCATTCGTCTTCGCCGCCGCCATCACCGTAATCCTCCCCATCCTCCCCAGGGACATAGCCAAACATCCCCTTCCCGCCCGCACCGCCTCCTCCGCCGACAGGGAGACCCGCCGCCACCGCCGACGCCACCGAACCGGGAATGCTTGCCGACACGTTGCCGGCGCCATTGAGGTTAAGGCCTAGGGCCGTGGTGTGGTGTCTCGGCACCCCCAACGACGATACCGAAGGGGGCGGAGACATCGCCGCCGATGCCAACGAGGTGCTGCTGTTGCTGTTGCTCATGGTGTCGGCACCACCCCCTGCCGCCCCGACGGGTCCGCTGCTGGGGAGGGCCGAGCTAGCGAGAGTCTCGGAGAGCTTTCCCAGCGCCCAGCTGTTTGGATTTGGTTTTAACAAGAGGACGACGGCGTTTGCGTTCACCGGGCGGGGAGGGGACGGGGGGGATGGTTGTGTATATAGCGTGAGAGCGCAAAGAAAGGCAACGATGCAATGGTTTGCGAAAGCTTCTTACAAGCTTCTGTAGGAATATAGACAAAACAGATCCGAACGCCATGACACCAAGGGTGTCAACTCAACCCGATTACCATTAACTGCTGTCCGATAACTTCTGAATAAAACAAGAGGTTCGATGCCCCACAAGGCCTGCATTCGGAGGGCAAAGCGAAGCAAGCAACGAACACAGGTATATGTGCAATAAGCGGTAGTAGGCGAGCAATCCGAAAACTCAGCGTCACGCCTCGAAAACGAATGCGCCGCCGTCTGAATAGGGTTAGGGTTAGGGCTAGTCGCGAGCGCGCACATACCTCCCCCATTCAGACCCAGCGGAGGTCCTCTTCGCAGCCCCCGCCGAAGATGATGCCGCGGAGCCCCCTCCGAGACTACCACCACCCGCTGCCGCGTTCCCTCCGCCGCCGCCGCTGACGCCGTGAGCCGCGAGCTCGGCCGCTTTCTCCTCTGCCTATCGTGCGTGAATGTAATCGCAGAGGAAAACATGTCTTTAATGATGATGTCATGTTTTGTGCGCGGCGGCGTGTGGCTTGGAGGCGTAACAAAGAAGAGGGCGTGACACCTACGTCAACACCATTGGTAGCTGCACAGTTTCATACGTATGTCTTGTCGGTAACAGTAACGGTAAGGCCGAATGTGCCCGGCGAATCAACCCGCGTTGTTCAGAGGGACCGGCGCTTTTCAAAGCAAAGCACAGGACGACGAGTTGGTGATTTCAGTACGCGCCCAGCAGCAATTTCACTGGCGCTTTACCGCAGGGAAGAGAGTGCTGCGCTCGTCTCGCACTTAAAATCGACGGCAAAGCACCGCAGGAGGGGTGGGCAGGGGACCTCAGGGAGAGGAACCCTTCTGTGTCACGACGTGTTGGAGGAACGGCACAAGTGCAGTGAGCGCCGATTTGAAGTGACGAAAAAAAAAAAAATACAGGGGCACCGGCGGTGTTGTTGGTCCACAAGTCTGTGCCCAGCAACGGCGCAACCGGGGGTATTCAACCATATTGTGGGCCCCACTTACCTCAATCCTTCTTCGCTCCTCCTCCTCCACCTTCATCCTCTCCGAGACCTCTCGAAGCTTGGACAGATACGTGTCAACGCACGCGAAGGCGGCCGCCCGTACCGCCTCTGACCCCGGGTCTATGAGGCACAGCATCACCGTCGGGAGCACCTTGGCGCAGACCTGTTGACGCCGGCGGCAAGCGGTGAGAGTGGTGGTGGTGCAGTGGTGTTGCTTATAGAAACCGAAATCAAAGCAGTAGACTTGTCAGCGGCTTCGCTATTCGAGGCCGGAATCAAAGACTAATTAGCGGTGTTGCTCTTAGAAGCCGAAATCAAACCGTTAGAAAAGTCAGCGCTGGCTAGCTTACATCGGCGTCAATTAAAGCTTATGATACGAAACAAGCGGATGATGACCTATTAGTATTCGTCGGTTGTGTCGTGGTGCAGTAGTGAGTGTGGTGTCATGGCGTGGCTGTTAACCTTTTCGAGAGTTGGGTTCTACAGTACCATGAGACAGGTAGGGCATGGCCGTTGGCAACGACAACCGTCGTCTGCAGAACTGTGGGTGAACGCATTAATATTAGTACGCAGCGGTTGGATATAAGGAAACAGAGAAGGGGGAGGGATGAAAAAGACTGAGAAACAGAGAGGGAGAGGGAGAGAGAGAGAGAGAAGGACGACGCACACACACACGCAGCAGGCAGCCAGACAGACGCGACGCGGGGACGCATACCTCTGCACCCACCTCCTGTGCTTGAACGAGATCACCAACAGCAAAGAGAAAGAGAGAGAGAGAGAGAGAGAGAGAGAGAGAGAGAGAGAGAGAGAGAG